ACAAGAGACCAAAAAGAAAGAGAAATCCTAAAGCAAGTAAACCTAAGATCATGCATGTTGGGAGACCAAATAAATATCAAGACCTTGGTTGCTTTTGGGAACTCATCATGAATACTTTATAGGAAGAATGGATACTCTAGCCATTCAAACTCCTGTTAAGGTTGTGCATAGGAATTAAGATAATAATTCAAAATTTTAAGTCATTAAACAATCACATGCTTAAAGGATAAAAACATTTTGGGAGCTTGAATAAGTCATGTGTTTGGTGAGTAGTAAACGCTTTTAGTAAATAAAACAAAGTACGCGTAATTAGATTTCTCTAAGTCCGTTATAATCCCTAAAGGAATATAACCCTTAAAAAAATCAATAGACCAAATATAAAAACGTTTGGATGATTGAATAACCATTCGAGAATTGGATAGGTCTTGAATAATAATAGTATTAATAAATATTCTATTCATATAAATTTCTATAGAAATGCCATATAGGAGTTATAATGATGATCTAGAAACCTTATATATTAAATCCTCGTATGCTTAGTAGATACGAATATTTTTGTATTGGATGAAACAAGGTATGCCAAATTAAAACTCTCCTTCCTGACACTTCTAGTTCTTTCCAAAGTAAATTTTTGAGGAAGAAAGAGAATGTCATAGGGACATGTTCTAATAACAAGTCATTACTAATATGATGATAGACCCAGAGTACGATTTCTTTGTCCCTAAAAGAAACATAAAATTAATGCAATATACTAGGGTAGGCCTCTAAAGTGAACACCATCAGAATAATGCAATAGAAGCGTGGAGGACCTATAGTCCACATGTGGAAGATGTCTCTTTGAACCAATAAGAAGAAATTAATGATGTAATAAATACGTAAATTATATCTTAAAACAATACTTAAGCACGGTTACTTGAAAATTTTAGAAGCTCAAGGTATATTTACAAGAGCTAGAACCAAGTATAGCCACTCGAAACAAAACTAATAAATGAACCTTTTACCAAAGGAACTCCCAATGATTTTCGATAATAACTGTGGATTTCATAATTAAGTATGTACATATTAGAGGACTTTTGGAAAAAGTTAATATCGTATTAAGGTATATTAAGAATCAAACAGCCTGTAACATCCCATATATCGGACGGGTATAAGGGAGTCAACTACCTAAGTAGTTCCGAGTGCCAAAACATCATTCGATATACAAGCAGAAAAATAGAAATCCCTTATGAAGCAAACTAAGATTAAAACTTACAATAAAAGCCATAAGTTTGCAGTCCTAAGTATCAAATACAAAAAATAGGGTCCTTATAGGATCTTTAAATCAGAGTATGAAAAAATTATTGCACTCAAATTATGTCATAAAGAATTACAAAAGATCCATGAATAGTTCTAGTTAGACTTCAAGAGATAACTTGAGGAGCCAATCCTCAACTTCCTCAACATCTAAGGGGGCACGGATTAAGAGTGAGTTTCATGTAAACTTAGTAAGAAAAATAATATTTAAAACCACACGGCTAGAGTTTAAAAAAGTAAACAACTTGAAAAATACCTTAGATACCTTTTACCTTGGAGAACCATTCCGGGATGAAGACATTTAATTATTCAGAAAATCCTTTTGTCTTTATTAAGAAAATCTAGTAAAGTCATATAACCAAGTTAAGAACACCATTATTCATATTTGAGCAGAAATGTTATGTCTCATTAGGCATACCCAAATGTATCATATATCCAATGAAAATAAAACAAATAGCATATTCAATAAACAGAAGAACCATCATATAAATCATCACAAAGATATAATTAGTATTTTTAATCATATGTGAGTTTTATTAAGTCTTTTATTGACTTCCGTGTGAATTTATTATAACATATATCCACTTAGGGCAGAAGCGATCCCCGACTACAGCTATGAATCACCAACCCATTCTTGGGCCAATATCATTTCCCCATCTAACTAACGACGACGGTCGTACGTCGTCACAGTGGCCCTACATGTCTAATGCGTATCTTCTCTTATCAGAGGGATCGCCAATCATCACAGAGGGTGGTTCACCAACACTTTCTTAGAGGAGGGAGAAACAAAAATCCCTCAGAGATACCAGTCAAATGGATTTTTATTATTTTTGCTTGTTCATTTCATGTTCACAACAAATTCCATGTTCTTTTCTTTTGCATGTCACGTGTTCAATACAACCACTTCCAAATCCAATAGGAATCCTGCAACATATCTATATGAAGATTCATTCTCATATATCCAGCCTGAAGACCCATTTTATGCATTTGGCTCGAAGGCCCATTTACCCAGATTTAACTTTCGGGTCATCCTCTTGAGCCAAGGCTCATGAGAATAACCCTCTTTACCATTACCAAGGTAAAGTGAATGGCCAAACTCGCATGCATTTTCCCATCATCATGATTTTCATACATCATGCTCAATATTTCCATAAATAAATAATGATCAATTACCATATAGACACATTATATCATCATTTTTAATAATACCATGTCTCATATCAACATAAACAAACATCCATCTTTGTAGACTTCATGCATCATAGTCATTTTATCATATGGTACAACCAACCATCATGTATCATATCTGACACCATCATATTTAAGCAATTAATGACCAAACAAGCACATAAGTCCATGCGTCGAAATCATAGAGATCCCAAATCATCATTATAACACATTCATCATGAATACATACCAAAACTTTAACCACCAAAGAAGTAGTGAAATCCATTTAAGCAATCTCTAATTTCACTAAATTAGTAAAACTAAAATGAGCACTTAGAAATGTAGATGAAAATACTAAAGAATTTCTTACTAAAATCGAGTCGATTTTGTCTTTTGGAAGGTGAGAAAAGAACTCCTAGCACCCCTTAGTAAAGTTCTATAAAGTCATATTTTTCTCCTTCTTTTTTGCCTCTTTCTCTCTCTAAAAAATTCCTTCTTCCTCTCTTAAAGTTTCTCTCTGTAGGAAGTGGAAAATAGAAGGGAAAATGAAGTGTTAATGATGTGAGTATGGACATAGATCAAGTTGGCAGAAATGATATCTCAATGCCAAGTTAATCCATTATAAGGGAGAGAGATAAAAGATTACGACAAGCCTTTCAACTTTTTATTCAAGCATGGAACAATGAAGAAGATGGGCTTGGACTCATTAAAGGCTATTAACCTAAGAGTATAATAATATAAACTATTCACCCCAAGTGCAAGAGGAAAATAAGCAAGAAAGGGGAAAAGTTCTGCAAGACATGAAAAAGAAAAATTCTCAGAGGATTTTATTTTCTAATCATGCGAAAAATCTTCACAATTAAAGAAATAAGAAAAATTAGTCCTAAATTACAAGCTATCCTAAGAAAGAGGAAAACTTCTTAAATGTTAAATCTTGTGGAAAATGAAAATACTTGAGAAAGAGAAAAATATCTTGGCAGAATTTCTTTCTTTAAATCAGTCACAATTAATTAAGATATTCCCTATTAAAAAAGTTTTCCTCATAAGGAAATCATATATATCATATTTTAATTGTAATTTTCTTAATTTTACTAGTTTTTTCATTCTAAATTAGATTTAATTTCCTATATAATTTCTACAATTAATTAGGAGATTATTTTTTTCTTATTATTCGCATGACTTACACTATAAATAGACTTTCAATTTAGAGTTGTAATTTACTCATAAATTACAGCTTATTAATAAAATTCAGGTATTTTTATTTTAAGTCTACAAGCTTGCAAGAGTGAGTGAGTGGGTTTTTGACCGATTTATTGTGTTAGAAATTAGAATCACTAATCGAGGTAAGTCTCGTGATGTCTTTTCAATTTTAGTTTTTTATTTCTTTCTCATTTATCTTGATTTTCACTCCTCTATTGAGTGCAGATCAAGTAGAGAGGATTTATTTAGGGTTTTGAGTTTTTGGTTGCTGATGTATATGCGGGGTTTTGGATTCCGTTGTTGATCTCGGGTTCCACACCAATTAGTATCAGAGATTATATTCTGGTACATCTACTATCTTTTTAATTTACTGTTTACATTTATTTTCTTACATAAAATTAGCACTCATAATATAAAGTGCTAATTCATTTAATTTATTTTCAATAATTTTTTTTAACGTTGTTATTATAATAAAAAAAAAGAGAGGCTTTGTGAAAAAAATAGAATCTGTTAGAAAAAACATAATCTATGAAGAAAAAAATAAAATATGTGAAAAAAGAGCAAAAAAAAGAGAGAGGTGTATGACTCCCTTATTTTCTTTTTTATAATATTACATTCAATATTTTGCATTAACATCTGCATTACAGAAACTCAAGTGAGTCATTGAGTGCAGATGTCATTGGGGTAGAATAATTAGGTATAACATTCCGGTTATATCTATAGGGATTAATAGGATCCTTGACACTTTACCTCCAGCATTGTCTTTTTCTACTCTTAGTTTCAATCTTTCTTAAATGTTTTAGTTCCATTATACATTTGAGTGGTTAATTGCATCCTAGCTACTTAGCTATAAGTATACGAGCATCACATATTCTTCTTCTGTGTGCTTATTTTCGAACTTTTAGAAAACAAGATCCTTTTTAAGATTCTTTGCAGAGTCTTAAAAGGCAACCTT